TTAGCAGTCAAGTGTCTTAGGCACTACGCCACCAGAGCTCCCTACCAGACATTAGGCTGACCCAAATAACCCAGGATAAACTCTACAGCCTTAATTCCATCTGCAATCTTAACTCCCCTTTGTTATGTAACATATTCACAGGGCTCATGTATTATGATGTGGATATCTTTGGGAGGCCATTATTCTCCCAACCAGACCTAGATATTCTATTTCTAGGTGCTCATTCAAGGAGCTCTGGTGGTATAGTGGTTAAAGCATTTGACGGCTAACCAAAAGATTAGTGGTTTGAACCCACCAGCTACTCTATAGGAGAAAGATGAGGCAGTCTGCTTCTATAAAGATTTATAGCCTTAGCAACCCTATGGGGGCAGTTCTACTCTCCTGTAGGGGACTATGAGTTGGAATTGACCAGATAGCAGTGGGTTTGCTTTTTAGGTGGTCATTCTTAAGAAAATAATTATGGAATGGATGTACAGCAGCAGGTGATAATGTACCACTAAACTTTCATTAAAAATAATGGTGGACAAGACTATTTAATGGCATGGAAAGGAAATTATAAAATAGTTGGTACAACATTAGTTCGCTTTAAAAGTCTACATGAGCACCTCTCTTCATCTATGTAAATATAGCGATAGAAGCTAGAAAGATGCACTCTAAAATTATTTGTAGCTCAATTGTTTTTCTCGTCTTATTGCTTCTTCTAGATCTTCAACTGTAAGTTGAATAAATAGAATGAGTATCTTCAATCTCTTTCATTAAATCAACTTTTCTTTTTTAATGTATTGAATGCCTAGTGTATGTCAGGGTTCCCTGGCAGTAGGCTACAGGTGTTTTTCATTTTCTTAATTTTACTTATGTTTTCTAAAATCTCAACAATATGCATATGACTTCTGTACTAAGAAAAGTAAATATTTTTAAACATGTGAGCTTTTTGTGGCTAGGGCAAATACACATTCTCACTCAAGTTCAGGCCAAGGACTCAGCCTCTGGAGCCTTTGATTAATCATCAGCCCCTTCCCTACAGAATCTCCCTCTGGAGAACAGTGACCCTCTCTGCTTCTCTTTTGTTCCTCCCCACCCCTGCAGCCAGGAGCTCTGGTAGCATAGTGCCTAAGGCACTTGACTGCTAACCAGAAGGCTGGCGGTTCAAACCCACCAGCTACTCCTCGGAAGGAAGATGGGGCAATCTACTTCCGTAGTGATATTGCCTCAGAAACCCAAGGAGGGGTCGCTATGAGTCGAGTCCGACTCGACAGCACAT